AGAAACATAGTAAACATAATACAAACTGATATTTTTTTCCTATCAAATACAATAGGCAAGCAAGAAGAATGGTTCCACTTTCTCACCTGTTGAAACATCAAAATTAACAAGGAGAGGGGGTCAAACATACACACTTGCAAATAGTGCAATGAAAGGAAGCTAAAGCAGAGTTGATTGATCCCAAAGGAAACAAGTCAAGAACATCTTAAAAAAAAATGTAATACAAAGTTTTAAACATATTTAACTTTTTGCACTAAAACTGAAACAATAAAAAATTGTACTTTAAATTGTGTAAACATTCTACAAAAAATAAATATTTTAATACTTTTCATTTTCATATACTTCAACTGCCATGCCTCAGAAAGTCCTATGCTCTTTTCACCAAGCCAATCTAAACTTAAGATCATTCTTCTGTTAAATTGGCAATTAAGAACATTTTCAAGTTCTAGTCCCACCAAGGACAATTCATACACATGCCCATACCCATGAAGTAATCCTTCAGTACTAAATACTCCCTTTACAACTGGACATTTTTATTGATAAGCTAAAGTACAAGTGAACTTGTAAATTGGCTTAAATCAACTACTACCATAAATTAAAAATGCAGCGTGTTTGCTTCAAGTACAGCAGGTTTTGATCCCATGTTAAATTCTCTGCGGCATCATACAGCATTTTCAGAACAGTTTCAATTCAGGTACAACCCTGCTCTCATTCCACAAATCCCGATGGTAACTACCACCCTCTCCCTGTAAAGACCTAATCAACAACCAGGCATTTAAATCCTTCTTTGTCCCTCTTTGTAGTAATACTACAAAGTAATACTACATTACTTCACCAGATTAGGTTTCTCTAATTTATTTCACACTTAACATTTAAATTAGTGCATGGCTAGTCAGAATATTACTATTTACATGAACATATAACTTAAAGATCAAATTCTGTCTTCAACAGATTTACATAAAAGGACAGAAAGGATAACATTTGTCTACCAGCATGTTATGTGGATCTCCTTAACTCAATTTATTACAGATTTCATGGTGCAAAAATGAATGCCCTCCAGGAGCTGAACTCATTACTGATTATTTCTTCCAAACCCACAGTGTAATCCCGTGCTTTTGTGACCAATGGGAGTTTGCCATTCACTTAAAGGGAAGTTGGATCTGTTCCTTGGTTTGTTACTCTAGCAAGAGATACTTAACAAAACACCACCACAGCCACTGTCTTGACTTTTTTTCTATTACATAACAGATAGTATGAACTGGTCTCATGTATTTTAGTCCCTGTGAAAAATAAAAGAAACATACTGATGATAATTTTAACCACATGTGAAGTCAACAACAGGATTATATACCTTTTTTCAATGTAAATTTCCAGAATATGTTTCAGCAACTATAATGGCAACAAGCCTGTAAGTCACTCATGGACCCTACTGAGCCCTTCAATCCCCTCCCTACTCTAGAACCCACAGGAGCCTTCCTGCAAGTCATCTGGTGCTCATGTAGCACAGCCAAGTCACAACACATGCACAAACAGCCTCCCATCAGTCACCTGACCGAATAAACTCCCCCTATGTGCCTACTAGAGAAAAGCACAGGTAAGAAAAAAACTAACAAACAAAAAAGGGAGGAAAATAATGTACACATGCTCTGGTGGCCAAAATTAAGTTAATCGTAGGCCACAGGTACCACAACTCAAGTTTCTAAAAGTTCCAAAATAAAAAATGCTTTCAGAATAATTAACTGAACCACTGAATTTAATTCCTCTGAAAAGCTGGAAATAAATGTTAAAATGCCTTTGGCAAGACTCAGCCAAGTGTAACAGTGCACAGTAAATACAATAAGCTGTCTTCATGTTTAGAAGTTCAATGAAATAAACCTTTAAGCAACACATACTGCATTATGATAGGAATCCACTGGAGTTCAATTTACATGATCATGTCTGTTATTTGTACTTAGTGCCTGTTTCACACATCATACAAAACATTTCAAGAAATTTAATTTATTTTAGAGAACTGTAACCTACATGTGGACATTTCAAAAAAATATTATTGGATTCATTAATACTATGAAAACTAAAGATCAATCCCAGCAATAACTCGTGTTGAGGCGGGCTGACTGACTGGAATCCAGGGGCCCACCAAAGCTGCTCTATCACTCCCTCCTCAGCTGTACAGGGAAAAGGAAAATATAACCAAAGGCTAACTGTCCAGTTACCATCAAAACAGAGTTGACTCAGGGAAATACTAAGCTTTAAAACACTTTCCTCCCGCTTCTTCTTGGGTTTAACTTTACTCCCAGTTTACCCCCTCCCCATCACAGAGCAGAGGGAAAGAAACAGGGTTTACAGTCAGTTCATCACACATTGTCTCTGCTGCTCCTTCCTCCATGGGGAGAGAACTCCGCACACTTTCCCTGCTTCAGTGTGGGGTCCCTTCCATAGGAGAAAGTCCTCCATAAACTACAATATGATTGCTTCCCATGGACTAATTATTAACAAACTGCTCCAGTGTGAGTTCCTTCCACGTGGTTCAATCTTTCATGAACAAACTCCTCCAATGTGGGTCCCCCATAGCTCCCTCCTGCCAGCAAACCTGCTCTAACATGGGCCTGCCAAGAGCCTGGTACAGCAAAGTTTTTCCATAGGGTCACAGCCTCCTTTGGGCACAGACACTTGCTCCAGTGTGGGGTCCTCTGTGAGCTGCAGGTGGATCTCTGTTCCATGGTGGATGTCCATGGGCTGCATGGCCACAGCTGCCTCACCATGGTCTGCACAACAGGCTGCAGGGGAATCTCTTCTCTGGAGAGAAGAGAGCACCTCCTGGTGCACCTCCTCCCTCTCCTTCGTCACTGACCTTGGTGTCTGCAGAGTTTTTTTTCTCATGCATTCTAATTCCTCTCTCCAGCTGCAAGCGAGAATTCCCAGTCCTCCCCCCTTTCTTAACTCCATTATCCCAGAGGTGCTACCACTGCTGCTAACAGGTTGGCCTTGCCCAGCAGTGGATCCATCTTGAAGATTGGCTCTGTCACACATCAGGGAAGCTTCTAGCACCTTCTCACAGAAGACCCTCTGTAGCTCCCCTGCTAAAGAACCTTGCCACATAAAGCCAATATGCATATAAACTATTTTCAAAATTCTAATATATAATATTCTTTACTATACCAAGGGCACCATTCCGCAGAAACTCTCAGTTTGCATTTTAACCTGTCCCTAAAGGACAAAGGTCCACATCAAGAATCATCATGTTAAACAGAAGCCTGCTGCTATCAAGTAAGCAGAGAGCATGCCAAGCATCCTGTCACTTAAACTGGTGGCTGAAAGCAGGAGAGAATCATCTTAACAACTAAGCATTCACATTGGTTCTTTCCATAGCTGTATCTGTTCTGCAAATAAAGGTTCAATATTGTTTCTCTTGCTCCTTCAAAACCATTTTCCTTTCAAAGGAAAAGGAAAAAGGCAGCAATCATACTCACAGGAATATCTGTCAGTTGCAACATTAGCTTGAAGTTAAATCTGTCAATAGTCCGCAGCCCAGAAGGGTTGTTTGTTTCAAAGGGAAGTTTCAAAACATTAATTTCCCACATAGGATAACAGATGTAAAAGTGAGAAGCTTCTGCATTGATTTGAGTGACCTGCACTATAGTGAGCATCAAGTAAGATCACCAGTTCATAGCTCAAAACCATTGCACTATGGCATTGCACTGCCATCAGCATGCAGCATCTGTTCTGCTCTCTGTTTGGCAGACTAAAAAGTAGGTAGCATAAAGATCCTTTAGGATATCTTTCAAGTTCACGAATAATTTTACACAAAACTGTGATCTATAGGCAGGATTCTCTTCCCTTTCAACCTCAGCTCATGTGTATCTTCTTGCTTTAAATTCTAATGAATAATTTGTTGATTCTTTCCACGGAGAACTATCAAACATGTATTTTCTCTTCTCCTCTAACCCCTTCTAGCAAGATCCAAAAACTCCCTTCCTTTGTTAGTAACCTATGCACTCTTAAAAACTAAAACCCCCACTAACTGCAAAAAGCTACATGTGGGTCATACGGCATCAGCACCATACTATTTTTGCCAGTAATAAAATGTGTTGTGCTTGTCTTGCTGCAAGAAAAATACTAAGCCTGAAACAAAACCTTGGGTTTTTTTGCTTCTTAGTGGTCAGGGAAAGAGTTTAACACCATTATAATGCATTTCTAATTTAGCAGTATCTAGAATGACTTCTAACAAACAGGGAGATAGATTAATAGAATGTGAAGAAAAGTAACATTTCTTTTTCCAAAACACCTGAAAAAACTAATAACTAAAAGGGAAATTAAGTAAATCCAGAAACAAAGCAAGCAAACAAAGAAAAAGGCAAGAAATCTAAGTAGTTATCATGTGATGACTGGGCAAGAGATTTTTAAAACTTAACTTGTTACCCACTACTATTGGGCAGTAGTCCCCACTACAAACTGTAATGGGAATCTTCCTCTAAGGAACTTGCAGTATTATTGCAAGAAAACCTGTAATACCTATAGAAACTAGTAGCAGCAACTGTCCCTACCTTTTTAAATCCTAAAAGTAATTTCACCTCCCAGTCCCTCTCTTCACTTTTCATACTGCAACCAGAACTGCAGTAATTTCTTCTTAGCTGGACAGGCAAGACAACTTTATCACTTTCAAGATCCTGAAATCAGTGCTACTCCCTTTACCAGAGACAGGGCAGAAGAGCTCACAGCCATCAAATTGATGGCACATCATTGGTGTACGTAGCTCTGTCTCACAGAGCTGAAGAACCTTGTCATGAATGACAACATTCTGGATACTAAACAGCAAAATAAAACCAAAGAGAACAACCACATAAGCAGCATGTTCAAGTGGCATGACAGTTTTAATTCCTTTTAAACCTCATGAGATTTATAAGTTAGTGCTATGACATATTTAAAAAAACAAATAACCTAAAAGAAGTGGTTTCAAGTTAAATCAAAGCTGTACATTCCCAGAGCAGAACTGGTCAAGTATGGATGCTCAAGGACAGGTACAAGAACAAGGCAAGCACATCGTTGCACTTCCCTACATCCCACAGATCCTAGAATCTCCAAAATTTGTAGCTCTGAGATCTGAGCCAGAAAGCACACTGCTGTGGATAACTGATTCTTCTTCCACAGCTAAAGCACTGCAATTTAAGACTGTTCTAACTGCAGTTAGAACTTGCTGGAATATTCAAAAGCCACTACGGTTCTGCAGGGCACTCTGAATTCCCAAACTCGGGCTGAACAAACTCCTACAGCAACCCAGCTCCAATCACCTCAACCACCCGAAGTTGTACCTAGACCCAGCTGTAGTTTTTCCAGGGACAAACGTTGGAGGGTGTACTGCCTCAGGTAAAATAGCCCTTTGGGTACATTTACTGAATGTTTTTCTCCCAAACTGTTCACACTGAGAAGCCATAGCCTTTTTCCTCAAAAGAAATATACACTCACACCATCATCAAGAATTCTGATTAGCAGGAATTCCAACAGGAGCTGAGGTATACAGCTCATTTCCTAAGCAGCTTTAAGTCATAAATATTAAAAAAAAAAAAAAAAAAGCACAAACTTTATTTTAGCAAGCTCTTTTCTTGTGTCCCCCCCCCTTTTTTTTTTTTTAATGTATTACTACAATGCTGAGCATCTTACACAGTTTGTTCTCATCTGACACTCAAGATCCAGCACCGACCTCCTGAATTTGTTCGGGGCAAGTTTCATCTCGGACTGTCCCGGCTCCCTTCTGAGCGCTGTCCCCCTCCCGGGAGGCGGCAGCCGGTTCATCCCTTCCCTCCCCGCTAAGCCGCCAGCCTCTGGGACCCCAAATCGCGCACTCGCAACGGGAAACTTGCTTCCTTCCCCGTTTCCAGCTGCAGAGCTGGCGAGTGGGGCAAGCCGGGCCGCCCGGCGGCCATGGGGAGGCAACATCAGCCCAGCCAAGGGGAAGCCACGGCACACGCGGCCGGTCAGCGGTGCAAGGGCCCGGCGGCGGCTCGGAGCAGGGGGCGGAGGAGGCCGGGCAGGGCCGCTTGCCCGCGGGGAGGCGCTGGGGACAGAGCGGCCCGACCTAATGCCGCCTCGGCGGGACGCGCCGCCGAGCCCCGCCGCCGAGGATGGGGCGAGTTCCAACCCGAGCGCCGCGGGGCGGCCCCGACCCGGCCCCTCCGCCCCGACCCGGCCCCTCCGCCCCGTTACCTGCGCGCTCCAACCCCGCCGCCGCCGCCGCAACAAAGCCGCGGGCGGACGGGGGAGGGGCGCGCGCGCCCGCCGCCCTCGGGAGCGCGCGGCGGCGAGGCCACGGCCCGGGGGCGGGGCCAGGCGGCGGGACCGGGGCGCGGGGGCAGTGCCGCCCCGCGGACGGGAGAGGCGGGCGGAGCACAGCACAGCACAGCACAGCACAGCACAGCACTGCACAGCACAGCACAGCACAGCTCAGCACAGCACAGCACAGCACAGCACAGCTCAGCACAGCACAGCACAGCTCAGCACAGCACAGCACAGCACAGCTCAGCACAGCACAGCTCAGCACAGCACAGCACAGCTCAGCTCAGCACAGCTCAGCACAGCACAGCACAGCTCAGCACAGCTCAGCACAGCACAGCTCAGCACAGCACAGCTCAGCACAGCACAGCACAGCACAGCACAGCTCAGCACAGCTCAGCACAGCACAGCTCAGCACAGCACAGCACAGCTCAGCACAGCACTGCTTTGCGGGTTCTCTCTCGCCCGTCCTGCCCCCGCACAGCCAGCTGTGGTTTCCTTCGCGGGGCGTTAGCGCTGGGGTGCTGCCCAGCATGGAAGGAATCCCCTAGTAAGGGAAGCAGTAACCACAAAGGGAGAGACAGACCCTGCCAGGGATATCGAGGAAAAGACTGGAGTAGCGCTCGTGTACTGGTTTGGGAAGAGGCCATATGGAAATAGGATTAAGCCTAGAAGTGCTTTAGGAAACCTGCACAGTGGGAAGGTTGCCCTTTGTGGGGGAGGAGGGAGGAGTAGATGAAAAGTAAGGGAGATGTTCCATACGTAGAAGAGACTTCCAGTTGGGGAATTAGGGGGAATAGATTCAGAGTTTGAAAACTGTGAAACAAACTTAATAATTTCCTAACAAGAGCAGATGTTGTCTGGGTTTTTTTTAAGAAGCAGGTGTTATGCTACTGTGTGAACATCTATGTAATTTACATGCACTCTGACAGTTATTTTTCAGTTTCTTCATGTAAACCTTCTCTTTGATGCAGGGAAACCTTCTGCAGAAAACAAATGTGTCTGACCAGCTTCTGCACCCTCTGATAAAATCCAAATTCTTTGCTGTCGAAATACTGTAGCAAAGTCCACCTTAATACCAGATTTGCTATTTGTACCCAAGGAAACATTGCACAAGACCTACATCTGTAGAACAAAATGTAGTGATGCTTCGGCATCTGCTTTTTGATGATAGGGAACACTGGAGACTTGATCATCCAGGAGCATTTATTGCGCAACAGTCTCTAGGAGCCAAACCAAGTGAACTAAGGCAAATGTTAATGAAACATTGAAGTTGAGATTTTAATTACTGAAAGGTCAGCACATTCAAGGTGTATTAATTTAAGGGAGTTACTCTGTATTCCCACAGCAATCTGCACTCTGCTCCTACATAGTTCAAAAACTCATGTTATTATTTATTGGCTGATGCATTCAAGTGTTATAACCAAATGCTATACCTGACTATTATTCCTTTTTGCAGTTAGGGTCTTGGTCTTTTAACGCTTTATTAACATTCTCTGTATGTTTCCTACATTCCCATCCTTTTCGGTAGCAATAAACCCGTTGTTTTTCTCTGATCTTTGTTCTGCATTATAAAAGGCTACATTACCTTTCGAGGCTGGGACCTCTAGTCAGTTAGCAACATTTGTAGCTAAACTATCACAAAACACTCGCAGACTCTCAGCAAACTAATGTATCAGAACACCCCTACGAACTTGTACTTCAATGGTGCTGCCTCTGGGACAAGCCCACGCTGTCCCCTATGTTGTACTCGGGCATCTTCTGGAAATGCAGAGATTGGCCTTGCCAAAAGCAGTGCTGGCAGCTGGCAGCAACAGCACTCATGAAGTCCCAGCACTTCCAGCCCATGCCCTGTCACCGTTTTGTTTACTAAGATAGGCCAACAGGTCCGTGTAGGACATGCAATAGCTACTCTCCAAGTGACAAAATACCCGCGTCCTTTGAACATCGAAGAGATGGAACTAACCTCTAGACTAAAGGTTTTAAAAGGGCAGTAGGCTTCAAAAAGACAGCCTGTGAGCCCCGCGGCATCACCGACCCTTCCTAGAAGTTGAGCAGCAGAGTATGTGCGGGCGCTAGCTGGGTCCCAGCAGCGGTGAGGGAGAAGGATGTGCGCTGTACAGCGGTGAGGGAGCAGGATGTGCGCTGTACCAGCCCCGAGGCGGGAGTGCCCAGCCCGAGCCTCAGCAGGCGACCGGCTGCCGTCCGCCGCCGACAGCGCCACAGCCGCGCTCCCCGCCCCAGCCTGGGCGATGGCAGCGCCGGCCGTCCCGGCTCTGCGCTCAGAGAGAGAGAGGCAGCCGCTTTGCCGGCTTGAAACGATCGCCCGTGGCTGCGAGCCCGTGCCCTGCCCGGGGCCGCCCTCTGCCCGGGGCCGGCTGCCAAAGGCCGCCGCGGGGCCGCGCAGCCCGGGCCCCCGCCCCCGGCGTTCGCGGCCCCCCCTCCCGCCCGCAGATAACCTCGGCCCCCCCGGCCCTTCCCCACCCGCCCAGGGCGGACTCGGCCCAGGCTCGGCAGCCGCTCTCCAGGCGCCAGCTGCCTCTCGTCGCCGCCGCGGCGCAGGCAAGGATGGCTCGGCAGCCCCGGGGCTTTCTGCAGGAGGCCTCTCACCAAGTCGTCGCCGGAGGCTCGGCGGGTGAGTGGGCGCGTTCCTCGTGGGCGGGAAGGGTCTGCCCGTCCCCTGCCGCCGCTCCTCCAAGTTGAGGCGCAGGCGGCCGCGCCGCCTCCCCCTCTCGGCGCTGCTCGGGCGGCGGGGAGCGAGCCGCCTCAGCGCGGCTCCTCCCCCGGCGGGCGGCGCGGGCCGGCCCCGGAGGCGACCCGAGCCCGGGGGTCCCGGGGCAACTTCTGCATCGGTGCTCGGCCCGCCGGTGGGGCAGGGGTTGAAGGGGCGCTCCCCGGCCCTGCGGTGTATCTGCGCCACACACGCCCCGCAGCCCCTCGGGCGATAAGAGTGGCGGGCGGGCCCCTCCAACGGCAGCAGCCGCCGGTGGCCCCGAGCGCGGCCGCAGCCCTTGGGGCCGGCTGTGCCGCAGAGCCGCGCTCGGGGCAATCCACGGTGGGGATCCGCCTCCAGCGCCTGCATACGGGACAGAAAACATAATTGTCCGGCTCAGACGCCTTCCCCGTGGCACTCTTCGTCGCTGAGTTACAGAGAAAACAACGCAGGGCTACAGTGGAAATGAGTTTCTGTAGGGTTTTAAAAATACTTTTAGGAATGTGGACGTTACTCATTCATTTGTAGTCTATGTAGTCTAAACTGCCAATGTCAAAAACTTAGGCGTCTGTTTAGCAATGAAATCGTTGCTGGTCAATTTCTTCAGGTTTCTTGCCTAAATCCCAGTGAAACTGAAATATTTCAGCCAGCCTGCAGCATAGGGGATTTTAACACAATGTCCTAATTCAGTCTGTATTTGTAAATCCTGTTAATATTTCAACTATGTAGTGTGTTTTTAAATGTCCCTTAGTGTCTCTTCTGAGGTCTAAATGCTGTTTGTCATATTATGTTTTACATGAAAGAGGAGAGCTACATGGTAGTGTTGCTGTGTCTTACGTAAGGCTTCAGTGTAATGTGTGCAAGAAAAATTCTCCTTTGATTGAGACCTGTGTGGCCGTGACACTACATGTAGACTGGTCTTCCATTGCCTATAATTCCCCTAGTACCTATAAATCCACTTCTATGCATTCCTGCCACCAACACACAATTGAACACCTCCTTTTCATGCAAGTGACTCTATGCCCTTTGTTTTCAGCCTTCTCCTTTGACAGCGAGAGATGTCATAGCAGAAGTGGAGAAGTGTGCTGTCCCAGTGTATTGTATGACTGCTGTCCCAGCCCTTCCAGTGTATTGTATGACTGTTAATGAAGCTTTTCTGTAGCCTTCAAAATGCTAAAGGTTTTTTGGATTCTGCTTGGTACCACCCCCATCTTCCAGGAAAGAATGGAAAGGTTTAATTTGTCCTAGACCGTTGAAAACCCTTCAGCCTGAAGGGATACTGAGATGTTTTGCCAGCATATGTTTTGCAAGATGACAGATTTATCTGTCCTTAGCAGCTGGCCTGTGCCTTAGTGGTTCAGATTGATCTAATGCACTATGTAACCATCCTCTGGCAGGAGCCTGTTTTTGCTAAAGGCTCGCTTTGTAGAAGAACAGATTGCTTAACAAAACAGACAAAATTGTAATTTAGATAAATGAAAAATATTTGGTAATCTGGTAGGCATCAATATTAGGATGAGAGAATTTTCAAGGACACCATTGATCCACATGCAACTCTTCTAAAAAAAAGTATAATGCATATTATACTTCATGTATATATAGAAGTATAATTCCTGTTGTATCTAGTCCAGAGGCACAATGTTAAAGGTGCTTGCAACCTTTTGCTTAATCTCCTGTCAGGCAAGAAAGTTCCTTAACTGCATCACTAGCCTTAAATTTGTACAGAAATTTCTATTCATTAATTTTGAAACAAACCAGTAATGATTGTTTCAATTAAGTCTGAACAACACTGATATTATACCAGGAGAGTTTTAGTTGTGTGATTCTCTAAGCTCTAAGGTTCATTAAAGGGAAATGGCTGAAACTCGAGAACTTGCTTGACAGATGCTTAAAACTCAGTGGTGTTCTTTCCTGTTAATTTATAGAGAAAGTAGAAGGTGAAGGCTGGAGTTTTGAGGTCTTCAGTCCAAAGGTTAAATTTCTTAAGCAAGTGTAGATCCAACATGGAAAAGGTGGAAGGAAGGAGAAAAGGATTGAGTTTGTTTCCTGACCTTAGTTTCCCAATATTACTTTGACCACCCTATATTGCTTTTGGCTGTCTCTGCAGAAGGACATAGGGCTCTTTTAGGTGTTTTGTTCTGTTTCCTGGCCTCAAGTGACTGCCACAGATATGCTAGAGTGACTTTGCTGTGTGTACCACGGCCTGGTATTTAGAAAGAAACAAAACCAACTAACCAAAAACCAACCAAACAAAAACAAAACAAAAAAACCCCACAAACAAAAAAAAACCCAAAAACCCAAACAACAATAACAACAGACCAAACAAGAAACCAAAACCAAACCAAACCCCCAAACAAACATAAATTATTCGTAGTTAAGCTGGTTTCTAAGAAATATATGTGAGCTGGACTCTATCAAAGTACTGGTAGGAAAGTACTGAGGAGGTTGGGGATGAATGGCACAACCCAGTAGGTGTAATTGAAGGGTCAGAAATATTGCCTGCATAAGTAAAATGAGAGGTTATTTAGAATCTGCATGTGTGATGCAAAAGGATATGATAAGAAGTAATTCTGCTAGGTTGAGTGGAAAATTATTGGAGATAAGCCCTAGCTGGCAGAACAGGAAGAAAGGGATTTTTTGACACTTCATGGAAGATGACAGGACTTGTTCATGGACTTAATAAAGACAGGGGAAGAGAAAGAAAGAAAGAAAGAAATCAAGCATGAAGCCTAGTCTACAGGACTGATAAAATGGAAGATACTGGCATGCTGGAAGAAGGAGAAATTAAAGTATTCAGTGTTTAAAGAGGAAAAAATATAAGCATACTGTTGGCTGTCAGAGGCATTGCTAAGTTAAACTTGAACAGCTCTCTGCTGTAATTGAACTGTAAAAGTCAAGCATGACAGACCTCATGCATACTTTGTGGCAAGGGGTGGGTCTGCTTTCATCTGGTTTGTAATCTGACTTCATGTGAAATGGAAAGCTCTGCTTCCTGAGAGTGAATGAAATTCTAAATATGAAAAAAAGTCTTAGGCTTGGCTTATTTTACTTCTGCTGGCATTGTTTACTCCCATCTTTCAGATTCCTCAGTGAAGGTTAATAATTCATAATTCAAAATACTTGGTTTTGTTTGCTTGCTTGGGTGTATGACAATAGTGAGGAAAAGGACTTCAATTGAAATGTAATTGGGACACTTCATTAGCAAATTCAGGCCTTCTAGTACAGGGAACTGCAGGCAAACTCCTTTTCTCTAGTAGTTAATTAGTAAGCTAAGGCATGTGTGGAATTTATAGCAAAGAAATTAAACAGAAAATCAACTCTAAACTGCAAGTATCACTGTGGAAAGATCAACTTGGGAGCCTCTGATTTCCTTAGTTTTATAGTAATTTTTCAAAAGGTTATTTGAGAAGCTCAGTCAATGCAGGGTTCAAGTCACAGGAAGAATTGTTTCTCTAAAGCACAAAGATCAAAAAAATCCTTGTTTTGCCTGCCTGTATGGAAAAGGCACAAATTAAAACAATAGTGTTGCATACAAAGTAAATGGATGTTTCTTTTTTCAGAGAGAGGAGCTGAATAGTGCAAAGTATGTTATGTGATACCCAGATTAATTTGTCAAGACATCCTTGTAACAGAGTGTTGAATCAGTTTGAATGATGAAGTGCAAATGTCATAAACAATTGCACAGATACCCTTGGCACAGTGAGGGCAGGTGGCTGGATCTAGTTACTCTGAAGGTTTTAGGATGCTTCTACTTGATACAGGTGTGTTCTTGCTTTTTAATAACAAAAGACTGCAGATGGAAACAATTAGCTAAAACCACAGGTAACAAAAATAAAATTTAATTAATATTTACTTGCATGATCACCACTTTTTCTTTCATATATGTACAAATAACCTATAAACATTTTAAATTTTGAAGTTAAAATTTTGAAGCATTTATTTCATATATTAAGTGATAAATACAAAGATGACCTGTTTTTCAGATCTGTAATATTTAACCAATCTTTAAGAACTTTTCTGCTGAAAATTCAGTGCGTCTCTTTGCCTAATTTAATAAATGAACTTGAACTGCAAAATTAATTACTGTAAAATGAATATGGAAAAATCAGAACAAAATGAACTTTAAAATAAAATAATTACTTCATAGGGATAATCCAGATTGATCTTTTTTCCCCCTATTCTTCCTATTTTCGTGAAACAGCAGGGTTTCTCTTCTCTGTACTTCTCTGCTTCAAATTTTTAATATATTTTTTAATTTTTTTTTTAAAAAGAGTTACGTTTCCAGCTGCATTGAAATTTAATAAGATTTGGGAGTCTAATTCTCTTAAGCTCCTTTGAAAGTCCAAACCTTTTCTCTTGAGAGGTGTTTTATTTCAGGAGTAGACAAAGTTGATTAACCAGGATAGCAGCAACTTCTTTGAACCATATATACATAGTTCCTCTAAGCAGGAAAGCCACTTGTCAAACTAAGATTGTCAAATGCAAATATAGTATTAAAAGCAGTGTTTGGTCTTCCTGTTGTGAGAGGCATTAGGCAGACAAAAATCATTACAGGGTACACTAGCCAGCATACTCAGTGAAACACCGTAGGTTATTTGGTTCCTATGAATGGGAGAGGGAGCGTAATAGATGTACAGGAAGCACTTGAAACAGCAGGAAAATTGTCTAATTATCCCCCTCCCTTGTTTTTATTTTTATGACAGTTTTCTGGGAGTTAAAGTTAGGAGGAGTATTCCATGTTTTTCTTGGGTGTTTTTTTCTTCCTTTTAAGCCATGCAATGGGCATTCACATTACTAAAATAATCAGTTAATCGTCAGAGGTAATTTCAACTAGCTAAGTACTTAGCTACACCTTGTAACTTTCTTGACTTGAACCATAATGTTTTAAAGTGCTTAAACCTTCCTTTCTCCCTTTCTCTGAA